AAATGTGCATTTCTATAAGGGTCTTGCTGGGCTGTGACGCTCTCTGTGGCTGACTCGTCTAAAACATGTCAAGTCAGATGGTGATTTCCCCTTCGACGAGACACAAGTTTGAACCTTGATAAAGGGTATATTTTCTTTATTAAGACTCTCAAATGCACAGGCCAGTAGATGAATTTAAAGAAACTCCAAAACCTGGGCATTTACTTAAACATGTATATCCACTAAAATATAATGTTTAAAGTAATAAAATTAAGTGTTCAAAATGTATTCAAGATAGATTAATAAATATGTTGCCAAACAAACATGCTGAGAAGCAAATTTTGTCTTTAAAAAGATAAGTGCTTGTAAATGTTGAAATGGTCAATGAAAATTCTAGCAAAGAGTCTATGGTCAATCTAAATGTTGCTTTCAAAATGTTTATCAATGAGATTCTGGAATAAAAGAAAAAGAGAAGGGTAAAATGAATTCTTAACTCTTCAAATTTTAAAATGGCTGTCTCTCTTGACATGAGTTGAAAGCAAAGAGCTGGCATAGAAATTTGAATTTTGGAAGGAGAATCTGCTGCAAAAATTTACAAGATATTCAGAAATGTTTATGGAAAAGCTGCACTTAATGTAAGTAAAGAGATAGGTCAATAATGGCAATCCTAAAGGCTCCTTCTTAGAATATGGTGTCAGCCAGCCGTTATCCAACCAAACTTGTAGCTCATGCTTGTACGCTCGTTGCATCAAGTTGGACACAGAATATTCTGCGATCATGTTATGCAGCACTGTTGGGGCTTGGCCTCCCATCCACATCTATGTTGCAGTCCAAACCTTCACTGCCTAGTCAAATTTGTTGCTGAAGTCTTGTTTGTCAATGTTTATCACCACACATAGGAGTGGTTTACTGTGACAGAACTACTATGTCTGATGGAGTGATTTATATCCCACCCATCTTTTTTATTGTGTTCATATTCAAGTGGCCTCTCACGAGTCATGACGTCAACCTTGATGGAATTGCCACCATTTGGGATCATGTTGATGACCCCGACCCTGCATGCATTAGTCAGTCTGTTGATAGTCATCACATGCACAAACCTTCTTGTCCATGATTGGCACACGTCTTTGTTGGCTGATGATTGGGAGAAACCAGAGTCGATGAGTGCTGTGCTCTGCTTCCCTTCAACTTGGACCGTGATTACCACTAGTGTCAAGTTTTTATCTGCTCCAGGGAAGAGACTGACATTATCTCCCATTCCCCTGTCTTGTTTCCCTGGACTGGTACATGCCAGGTGACTCATAGGGTGGGACCAAAAACAAAGCATCTCTTGACATGGTTCTTGTTCACATGCCCTGCTGCCTTCCTTGGATGTGGTAGCTATTTAATGGCTGAGGCAGTCTCGTGCCAAGTAGTTTGGTTCATTACAGGTGTAGCATGTAATGTTGGTATGAGGATCAATGGGAATGTCAAGACTCTTAGTCCGTGTCATCTGTGTTGCTGCTGCCACTAGTGCTGTCGGTTCCAGCGTGTCATTCTTTAGAATCACCCAGTAATGTGTCAGCATCTGGCCAATGGTCAGCATGTCCATTCTTGATGACACACAAAGGAGTTGCTTGACTTGGGCTGGTAGTCCAGCCACAAATGTGCACCTGAGTGTGAAGTTGCTCATCAATCCAAACAACACTGCAAGCTTCTGTAGTTTTGCCATATAAATGTTTACAGATTCATCATGTTGCATCCAGTGTGCTATGAATTGCTCATGTGCTGTGAACTCATCTGTTGCAAAGCCTGCATATAAAGCAGTCTTTATTTTGTCTGCACTTGCCTTCTCCTCATCCATCAATTGCTGGTAGATGGCAAATGCACCCCTGTGAGTCTCAAGGGAATGACATGTTCTAACTGATTCACAGTCTGCAGACAAGTTGGCCTTTTCCATTCGTTCAACTACCAATCTAGTATCGTCAAACAGAGTATCAACCTCAGATTGAAACCACTATCCATCTTAAATGTCAAAATAACTTGTGAAGAGTCTTCTGCCTATGTCTTCTTTACTGCTTTCTCAACTCTACTGTACACTGCTAGTGTCATCTTCAGAGTTCCCTCTGCTTACTAGCAAGCTATGTAGCTGCTTATGTATAGTAAGTGGCAGGTGTGTGACAGAGACAGTTTGGGAAACACACACACACACACACAAAAACACAAACACACACACACACACACACACACACACACACACACACACACACACATGTATATTTTTTTAGTGAAATTGGGATAGATTTGAATAGTGAAATTAAATCAGAGCATTTTGTTTACTGATGTGGAAATTTGATTTAGGCCAGAAGTTGTACCCACTGAATCTGGGTCATCAGAAGACAATGGAAATGGCTGAAATAATTTTTATTGATTAAAAATTGAAATAGAGCTGAGTAAGCTAGAAGGAACTTTTGAATTCGCATGATTTTGGTTGAAACAGCCAAAACCCCGTGATAATCATGTGCGAAGCAGTAGGGCCAAGGTTCAGTTGTAACCAGCCGGATTTTTCTATATAAATGCGTAGTTATGTTGACAAAAACAGACGGGAGAAATTTCTTGAAGAGAGAAGAGAGAATTGGCCCAGGTGAGTGTAGAGATGGGCAAGCGTTGAGACAGAAGAGGTAGACAGAAGAGAGAGACAAAGAGTCAGACGCAAGAGTTGGGCTAGAGACAGTGGAGAGTTGAGTTGGAGACTCAAGAAGGAGAGAATGTGACATCAGAGATTGGAATGAAGCGTCTGCTAACATGTGCTGTTGATATAAGTACCGCTGCTTCTGCTACCATGAATATTACTACTACTGTTACTACTGCTAAGGAGGAACGCCACTATAAACTTTAAGCCACGCACAGAAATCTTATTCCCCCATCGCAAGAGTCATATATTGTTCTGAGATGATTTAACAAGTTAATCATAACACACTCTCTCTCTGTCCAGAATCCAGTGTATGCATTTTTACGTCAATTACTTTTCTTTTCTGTAACCCGTTTCTTTTCTATATTATTCTTTTCTGCTGTATAAAAGACATTAACAGTTCAATCATTGTTGTCCTGCTTTCTGAAGATATTAATTTTTTTTTGCTGCATTCTAAATTTCTTAGCGCAGTCTCTCCAGCCGTGTCTGCATCTTCAGTCAACCATGAATGGATGAACATTACTTTTGCTTTCTGGATCAAACCAAACACAATGTGGGCAGGAAGCAGGATTAAACCAGTGGACCGGTTGAATAATCTACGGATGCTCAGGGGACCTATGGCCACTCCCTTAAGTTTGGTTAGGACCGAGTAGACACCTCAACCCAGAGAGTAAGACATTGGATGTTGAGGGGCTGGGGCGAAAGTGTTAGAGGTGTCCATTTCATAAAATTACGGTTGTTGCATGTGTGCCCGTAGGCCTCAAACCAGATTTACTGCTACAGCTGCAGCAACTCAAATACGCTTCGTACTAGATAAGACATTCTCTGCATTACTACAATGAGTAGCCTTCTTGTTTAATGAGGTGGTAATTTCTCTAGTATAACTCTTGCTTGACTTATAAAATAACACAAACATATATTTATATATTAGAAGAAAAGAAATTGAAATGAGCATTGTGAGAAATAACTGTAAGAGCTTCAAAAAAGTTATTATGGATCTGAGAAGAAACTAATATATCATAAAAATGATTAGATGGGAAAAAGGAAGGTGGGCAGAGCAAATAGCAAGAATAAAGAATAACAGATGAAGCAAAAGGTTGTTTGATTAGTGGCCAATAAAGAACAAATGAAAGAAAATACTAGACAGAAAATGGCAAAATGAGATAGACTAATTTGCTGGTAAGACATAGCAGAGAATACCAGTGAGAACTGTGGTTGAGAAAGATTTGAGAAAGTCTTTTGTCTAGCAATGAACTTGTAATGGCTGCTGCTGCTGATGACACATACACACATGCATGTGCACATGCACACAGACACACACAATATTTTGGGGGTGATAAGAGCATTGAAATATTAATAAATTTGACTCCACTTGTTTTCTAATAAAATATTAATTACTGACAAATGTTTTGTATAATTACTTTCATCTATTATTCTATGTCACATTTTAAGGTATATATATATATATATATATATATATATATATATATATATATATATATTCTGTTTTTATGTTATTTTTACAGATACAAATATTTAAGTAAATGCTCTGTTTATAATAAACAGTATTAACTACATTTACTGGCCTCAGTGTCCAAGAAATTTCATAGAAAATATGTGTCCTCTGACAGGAATTGAACCTAATCAGAACTGCCATATAGCATGACGTGCTATACCATGTAGGATACAGGTTCAATTCCTGCTGGAGGACACATATTTTCAATGAAATTTCTAGGACATTCAAGACAATAAATGTAGTTAATACTGTTTATTATAAACAGAGCATTTACTTGAATATTTGTATCTATAAAAATAATATATAAACAGAAAATATATTAAAATAATTGTTGGACTTAGTCCATTTCATAATATATATATATATGTGTGTGTGTGTGTGTGTGTATGCATGTATGTACATATGTATATAAAGGTATACATAATGAATGTATGTATAGGGTTAAAGATTTTTGAAGAGAGATTCCTAAAAAGAATTAAAAGCATATATCAATGACTGCAGTTTATGTTTTCATAGTTAAAATTTAAATAATTTCTTAAAAATTCAATAAAACAAGATGAGAATCATGTTTAGTCAAGAAGTCATATTAGTGAAAACCTATTTGTTGATTGCTGATTCATTTTGATTGGTTACTGTCATAAAGAATAAACAAAATGTTTGGCCAATCATAGCATGTAAGCAGAAAGGCCAGTTATGCTATTGGCTGTTGTTGCCCTAGGTCACTGGTGGATTCCTGTTTTGTATTGGTTGAGTGAATGTATCAAGGAAGTGTTGGCTCACTATTATGAGTCAGTATATGATTCAGGACTAGATGGGTGGGTGAAGCGAGGGAGGCTAGACAGTTGAAGAAGACGAGGAGAAAAAAGAAAAAGGCAAAAATGTAATTTCAACGTTTAGGAAAGAAAGAAGAAAAAGAGCTGAGGAAACAAAAGAATGAGAGAAAGAGGAACTGAGAGGAAAAAATAAAAAGAAGGTAGAAGAAAAAGAAATTTGATAAATGGAGAAGAAAAAGGATGGTGAAATAAAGAAATAGATAGAATAAGAGAGTGAGGTAGAAGAGGCAAAGAGAGCAAAAAAATTATAAAAGAGATAAATAGGAGAAAAGATTGAAGAGAAAGAAAAGGACAAAAAGATTGAAGAGAAAGAAAAGGACAAAAAGATTGAAGAGAAAGAAAGGGACAAAAGATTGAAGAAAAAAGGGACAAAAAAGAGAAAAGAAAAGGACAAAAAGATTGAAGAGAAAGAAAAGGACAAAAAGATTGAAGAGAAAGAAAGGGACAAAAAGATTGAAGAGAAAGAAAAGGACAAAAAGATTGAAGAGAAAGAAAGGGACAAAAAGATTGAAGAGAAAGAAAGGGACAAATTAAGAATGTAAAGCAGAAGGAAAGAATGTGGTTTAAAGAAAAGAAATAAAGAGAAGAAAAGAGAAGGAATGAAGAGAAATGAAGAGAGAGAATGAAAGTAAAGGGTGGCCTGAAATAGAAAGAAAAGAAAAGTGGAAAATGAAAAGAGAAAGATAGGTGATTGGGTTGATCTGGCAAGAAAGCTGTTGAGTTCTCCCCTGAGACTGGTTTTTGTGGTTGTGATTGGGCACAACCAATTTCAATGAGATAGAAGCTGAAAAACCAAATAAGTATTAGTACTACCAATGGAGTGATGTAAAGGAGACCAATAAAGATGGGAATGGGTAGGACAAGAGGGAAATGAACAGTGTGGTAGGAAAGAAGCTGATCTTCCTGTGTACCATTACTAACACCATCGTTATTTCTAGCATTATTTGCAACTGCCAAATATCTATCACTACCATTACTAGTACTGTGGTATTACATAGCTGCTTACCAATGCTGCTATCGCAAGATACCACAGTGACTTCACCAACATCAGCACCATTGGCATTAATGTTGGTATGATGGTGATAATTTCTGATAGTTTTATTACAGGTGTTAAAACTACTAGTATCATGATTATTATTCACAACATCTTCAGAGTTAACGCAATATCATTTTAGTCAATGCCATAATCACTATTATTTATCCCCTGTCCTTATTAAGATTCATTATTATAACCCTTATTATCAGTACCATGACCATCATCATCATCATCACCATGAACATTCTTTTGCTGACTTCTTGTCAATTATCAGTACCATAGTCATCAACATCATCACCATCAACATTTATGTTATTGATATTATTATTATCAGTACTATAACCATCATATCACCATCATAATTTGTTATCAGTAACATAATCATCACCAGTATTATTTATGTTATTGAGGTCTTTATTATGACAAACATCTTCATCACCATAATCTTTGTTATTGTGGCCCTTATTATCAGTAGCACTTCCCCCATAAGCATCATCATCAGTATTTCAATCATCATCATCATCATCATCATCATCATCATCATCTCTATTATTGTATCCTTTATCATAAGTACCCTAATCATCATCATCATTTATATTACTGCTGTCCATATAAGTAACATGATGATGATCATCATCAATATCAACATTTGTAATTGCTGCCCTTATTTATCTCTGTCACTAGTATCATTTGTTATTAAAGACATTATTATCAGTACCACAGTCATCATCACCATGAACATCATCATCGTCATCATCATTTAGGTTAGTGCAGCACTTATAATCAGTAGACAATCAACATTATTATTATGTTATTACTGCCTTTATTATCAGTAATTCAACCACCTCTTCCACCACAACCACATCATCTTCATCATCACAATTGTCACAATTATCAGTTTTTGTTATTGTTTTTGTTTTTGTTAGTTTCCATGTTAATTTTGATGTGTTACATGAAAAATAAGAAAAGAGAACCAGCTGACAACAATACCTGAAAACATGTAACCTTTGCCTAGAGGAGAAAATAGTAATTTTCTAGAACAAAAAAACTCTTAAACAATAGATCAGGGCTCATTTTCAAATACAGACATGAAAACAAATTCCTACCATCCTACACTGAACCACATAGTGCAAAAGACTAAATAAGATGCCATAATCTAAATCAAATAAACTTTATTGCAAATATCAACAATTAGAATCAAAGAAAATATACAAAAAATATACAAAATAAACAAATAAAATAATAAATTTAAAATATTGAAATAAAGAAAGAAAATAAGAAAACTAAAAGACATGACCATAAACAAACTAAAGCAACAGACCTAGGGAACTGGGAAGGGCCAGTTTTCTTACTCTCCCTTTATCCTTAACAGTAGCCTCTATATAGAGTCAGTAAAAGTAGTGACACATGTTCTAAGGATTATGAATAAAGATTAAAGGAAAACTTATCTTAGCTGAGGATCTATCTATCTATCTATCTATCTATCTATCTATCGATCGATCGATCGATAGATAGATAGATATGAATAAAGACTAAAGGAAAAATTTTCTTAGCTGACGCGTTTCGTCCTCTGACGATGAAATTCATCAGCTCAGATAAGTTTTCCTTTTGTCTTTATTTATATTGTCCTTTCACAGATATACTGTATCTGAAATTTTTCACACACATGCACGCACACACATGCACACACACACACACACACACACATGATTTAAGATGGTGTGATTTAAGAACACTGATAATTTTTGTAATTTTTTATTGATTTTCTCTTGTTTCATACAAGTTTTATGTAGGACCTGTGCTTCAAGGATCTGCATTTTATAGTTTATGTTGTGTAATATATGCTGTTTCCAAGTATTTCTAATACTGATAAGAATATGATATGTTGATTAATATAAGCTTTTATGACAATATTGTCTGATAAATGGTATATTAGTGAATGTAACAGTGCTTTTAGTTTGACCAATATATATATCATTTGTTTTTTATTAACACTGCAAGTAAAATTCCTAATGAACAAGAAAATGCATATATTACATAGGTTTTATTTAATTGGTGTTTTGGGTAGTCAATATTATTTGTAGCTAAATAGACATATAATTTCTTATAGAATGGTTAATTTTATATCTTTCTTGTTAGCATTTAGATCATATGTGCCTACAAATTATATTCTTCATGATTGTTTCATCTTGTATAATTTTGGTGGTCATTATTATTTGTAACTATAAGGTTAGAAGTTTTTGTTTTTTTATTATAGATGCTTAATTTTATGTTAATTGCTAGCATTTGATGGTTAATTTTATATATTTATTATAACATTAGATGATATATACTTATATAGTATATTCTTCATGGTTGTTTGCAGCAAAATGTTTTTATTTTTGTCATTGTTATTTTGAATATTTTTTGTTCATATTTCTTTAAATTAATTTTATTTATTCATGAACTCCATAATTTGTCTTTTTGCTGAATTTTTATTTTTTTTTATAAAATAGAACCTGAGAAAAGAAAATTAAATGGTCCCTGTTGATCAAGTATTTTAATGTCACTGCCTGAACTTTATAATTTTATTTCATGTTTATTTATTTTTTCCTCAATAGGAGTAGATAGGTTCACATGTCCTCCATACTCTTTTGAACAGGAGTAGAGGTTTATCCCTTGTTTCTGGTTTAGGATTGGGTTTCCGGTTACTTCCAAAGCCTACTTCAACTCTATACTTTTAATGCAGTAATTCTCAACTGCCATGCCACAGCACATTAGTGTGCTGTGTGATCCTCTTAAGTGTGCCACAAAATATTTTCATAGCTTTTATATATATGTGTGGAAGTAGTAATGGTTTAGAATTAGTCTTTAAATAAATGAATTGGTATTAAACTTTTTATCCCCCATTATCTAAAAAAGTTTTATCAATTTTATTGCAATTTTCTAATTGTTATTTATGTGAATTAAGCTTCTTAACCCTAAATAACATCAAAAATAAGAAGTGAGAAAGATTATGCTCAACTGAAGAAGAAATGAGAGCTTATTTCACATTCGATCAAAGATTGAAGAAATTGCAAAAAACACCAGGCACTATTTTACACTAAATAAGCTGCATAGAAATATTGAAATAAAGTAAGTTAATATTTATGTATTTTTTAAAAATCTATAGTTTTATTTCATAACATTTAAAAATTTATACCCTTTAAAAATTTTGCTAAATATGCTATAATATTTTCATTTGTTCCTTGGTGTATTGTTGCTTAAAAAGGTTGAGAAACACTGTTTTAACATCTCCACTTGAACTCTAAAATTGTTTTTACTAATTATTTTTTTCTCCTCCATAAGAGTAAATTTATCCCTTGTTTCCTGTTTAGGATTGGGTTTCTGGTACCTTCTAAAGACTTTTCATTCTCCTTCACTTCCAGTAATACCTTGCATCTTGGGGTGGATTGATTAAAAAAGCTTTTGATTAAAAAAACTTTTTATTGTGGGCAAAGCTTTGCTATTAAAATCTATGAAGACATCAAAGAAAGGGATTTTATAATTGATGTTTGGTCCATAATTACAGCAGAGAAAACGATGACTTTTGAAAATTTCTTTCAGATTTTTTATTTTGTCTCTATAAAAACATCAAACTATAGACAGAACTAGTGTGTGTGTTGGTGTTTAGATATACAGAGTTTGCTGTTTACTGAAGTACGATGGAAATTTGGGATAAACCTTTTATGGTTAAAGACAGTCAAATTTATATTTATACATTTATAAGGGTGGCTCTAAAAGTAATCCCTCCTATGCTCTGCTCATCTGTCAGTCCATATGTAGCTAATGGTGGTAATCATGTGAAAAAATAGTGTTTTGTAGCTGAAAACTTGCAATCCAATGGTATTATTATGCTCCCTGTATCTGTTGTAGTTTCCATGAAAATAAATTGGAGGCATTACTTTTGGAGTGTCCATCATCTGCCAGCTTTGATATATTAATTGAAGTATTTTTTGATGCACCCATTACTTCAGCTCCATTTTAAGTAAGTATGGTTTTGTGCCAAATTTTCCTGGAATAAATATCAATAGTTTTCCGTGAATAGATATTGATGGTTTGTTGCAGCTATAAGCTATTTATATTTGAGTCAAGCTGAAACTAAACTTAATGTAAAATACAATTGGAAAAACAGTTGTTGGTAATTTATATAAAAGGTTTCTTTTTGTGTTTAACAAAGTCAATGCTAACCAAAGTCAACTAGTGTTGCCATCATTGTCTCTTGTTGCTCTTATGACAACTGGAAGTGCACTGGTATATATGTGATTTTGTATTTCTTTCTTGAACAATACTAATGTGAAATATATTTCCACCTTTAGATGATGAAATTAATTAGAATGGATGGATTTTCTCTGCCAAAAACAAAAAAAAAATAGATAAAAACTAAATAATCACACATTGAAAGGAAGCCATGATAAGGAATCAAAAGATGAAAAAAAAGAGGAAAAAGAACAAAGAGAGTTGAGGATGAAATATAATGGAGATAGAGAAATTGAAAAAGAGAAAAACAGAGAAAAAAAGAGATCTAGGTAAAAAATAAAAGTAAACATACATATGAAGAAAATGAATGCAAAGAATAACAAAAAGTGAGATAGTAAATAGATAGGGAGATAAAGAAATGAGCAAAGAAAAGTATGTGTAAAAGGGTAAGTAGCATAAAAAGTGAGAGAAAAAGGGAAAGTATTGATTGTAATGAGAAGAGATAAAGGAAGTAAAAGAAAAGGAGGAAGAGAGAGAATGAGAGAGATAGCATGATAGAAACAGTAAAAATGGAAGCAAGAAGCTGAAATTAGGAATAAAGAAAGGAAAAAGAAAAAGATAGTAAAGAGAGAACAAAGAAAAAGAGAAATTAAAGTGTCAAAGACAAAGCAGAAAAACAAAGAGAAAGAAAGAAAGAAAAAAACAAGTAAGAAGCAACAAAGAGAGAGTGAGAATTAGAAAGCAAAAGAGAGACATGAAACAAAGCAAAAGAGAGGTAGAGTGAAAAAGAGAAGAAAATGAAAGAAAAAGTAAGAAAAGATAGAGAGATGGATAAAGAGCAATAAGAGGAAGAAAAATCAGGAAGAAAGTAGAAAATTGATGCATGAAATGACTGTAGTGGCAGAATAGGGAAAAAGGGAAAATGAAAAGAAGCAAATCTGTAAAATTTTGCTTGCCAAGATGCTTCTTCAATCTTCTGGATGTATTACTCCACTCTTTAGTATATTGTAATGGCACCTGAGCCAATTCTCTCTCTCTTTGCAGGTATGTATGCATACATGCATATGTGTGTGTATCCGTGCATGCTATTGACAACTATTAATAGTTCTTAGATTGTTCACACTGACCTCTCTGTCTTCTAGAAATTGTGCTGGGTGAGAAATAAATGGAAAGTGATAAGGGAAGACAACACATTTGAAGAAGCATGTCGCCTTCCTTTGGGATATAGTCTACGTGTCATTCATTTCTTCGGGATTTCAGTATTTTTATGATTAACTGAAGTAAGCTCTTCTGGTTGGAAATAAAATAAGAAAACAAAAAAAAAATGCAAATTTATTTATATATGCAAGATTATTTCCAAATTATAGGGATCTCTTTATCTCTGTCTCTTGGTATCTTTCCATAATCAAACACACACATGCCTAAGCATATATATATATATATATATATATATATATATATATATATATATATATGGGTGTGTATATATATATATATATATATGTGTGTGTGTGTGTGTGTATGTGTATATGTGTATATGTATATGTGTATGCGTATATATGTGCATGTGTATGGATGTACATATGGGCATTTGTGTGTGTATGTGTATATGTGTATATGTATATGAATTTACATATAACTTTATGTGTGTGGATGTATATATATATAAGTATATGTGTATGTGTGGATATGCGTGTAGATATGTGTGTATGTATTTCTCTATAGGTGTAAATGTGTAGATATGGGAATATACATATAGTTTATGTGTAGATGTGTGTGCATGTGTATATATGGATTCATAGGTATATAGGGAGATATAGGGATGTAGATATAGATAGGTGTTCGGATATGTGTAGAGGTGTGTATGTGTAGGGATTGTAAAAGAAGGACCTAATTTTCTCTTAGTAGTGTTTTATCCAAATTTCTCCTCTAGGACTCTCCAATTGGAAGTGAGTTTAAATAATACGGAGGTAAATTTTAAATTGGTAATTTAATTTGAATGGAAATATATTGCCCTTTAATAAGCATTATTGATGATAAAATTATTTAAATTGGAACAACCTTAAAGAAAAAAGTATGTGTACGAATATATAGAATATTGTAAAAGAAGGACCTAATTTTCTGTTAGTAATCTTTTATCCAATTCTCTTCTCTAATATTCTCCAATTGGAAGTGAGATTAAATAAATAATACGGAGGTAAATTTTTAAATTGATAATTTAATTTAAATTGAAATATGTTACCCTTTAATAATCATTATTGATGATAAAATTATTTGAATTGGAATAAACCTTGGTAATTAGGTATCTAAAAGCAGTAACAAATTTAATTTATGAACAAGAATCAAACGAATAGATGTCAACTTAACAAGCTATAAGAAAAAAGTTTAGGAAAATAAAAAGGATTACTAGATATAAAATGGATTATTCTTTCAATGTACTTTCTATGATATTTCCAATCGACTATTTCATAGAAAATACCCAAAACTCCAACAAACTTCAAATTAAATTCTTCGTAGATTTTTTAGACATTTAGATTTATATCAAATTCTAACCCCCAAAGATACACTTTAAAGTAATGCGAAATAACAACATCTAAGAATTTGAGTGAATCCTGTTCTCAGGGACATGATTTATTATTTTATTGTCAGCTGTATCTTCCACCTTTAAGCTGGTCCTCTCCCTCACCCCTTACCCATCTATACCTAGATAGGATATGTTAAGTTAAGCGGCGTCTAGCCTACACAAAGTGGGGTTAAGGATGAGGAATTGAAAATGGTACATCTAACTCACTCATATATTCTCTCCCACCTCACTTCCTCACTTCGTTAATTTCACATATGCTTGGTGCGGTCTGTCAAAAATGTGTAAGTTTCTTTTCATTTTTCATTTCAACTTTTGAAAGTAAAGTCTGATGATCCAGAGCCCTTTAAAAGGGTTGTGGTGAAATAACTTATTAACCTTAAAGTGATCTGTTTTTATTCAATATATATATATATATATATATATATATATATATATATATATTTTTTTTATTTTAAAATTTTGTGCATCTGATGTATTTGAATGCACAGCTTAGCCAATCTTATTCAGTCTCCCTATGTTTTTGTTTTGATCACTGTTGTTTTTAAATATCCCACATTGTGAGAACAGAATATCTGCCAAGAAAGATAAAATCCTGTACACATTTTGCTTTCATAAATTGCTTTCTCATTTAATTATTTAATTAAAGCATCATTTTTTAAATCAAAATTATGGTCAGACTCATTATGGTCAGTGAATAATGCAATGCGTGTGTTGTTTTGCAAATATATATATATATATATATATATATATATATAAATTTATACACATGTTTCATTAAAGACAACTGGCAATGTACTGCAATTGCTTTTTATTTAATTTTTCTTATGTTCATACAAGTGTTTTCTTTTCTGGACACAAAGTGTGTAGAAGCTGTCCAAATGTTCTGCATTTCTGAGCACTTTTAGCTTTACTTTTAGTCATTATCAAGGATGATTTTATTTTTATTTTTTAACTGAATGTATGGGTTGTGTGTATGTTTCTAGAGTTTTAGGAATGTTTTATTTTCCAAACACTGTCACTATATTGTGCCTGTGTTCATAGTTAATGTTACTGAATGTTGGCTTTTTCTTTTTTATTAGTAGGGCTTTCATTATTTTTAATCTTATTTTATATGTGGATAAGGTTATTATGTTTGTATTTTTTACTAATATGCTTCAGATGGAGTCTGGTAGTTTTTTGTGTGTATTTAAATGAGTCCTAATGGAGCTATGGTCAAGTAGGTATAACATAAATTGTCTGGATCGGCATGTAGTATTGTGACTGATGTAATTACTTATGAGTTTGGTATGTTCAGGAACACAGTTCCTTAAGAGGCATTTGAACTCTTATATAATGTTGGTTCTTTGTAGTTTTGATTTTGCAGGTGCGTTGCTATTTTTGAGGATAAGTTTAACTGTTTTAAATTTTTTGTAATAGATAATTAATTTAATTTTTTTTGTTTGTGTCAACTGGGGTAGTGTATTTCTTTATGATATTTCTAAGTGAAGATTCATCTTACTTATAGCTGATGTGCATTTGGCTTTTGTAGAAAATATTTATGCTATTGTTTTTGTTTGTGTGTCTAGTATTGTTATTATTTACTTTGGAAAGAAACAGTCTAATCTGGTGATCAACAAAGTAGTTAGGAAAACCATTGTTAACTAGTGTCTGTTTTGCATTGCAACACATCCATCCATGAATTCCTCCAAATTCTAAAATGTATAAAACCAACATACATTCACACAAACCCACGCATTCAGTTAAAAGCACAAAATATGTTAAATTTTTTTATGTTTATGTTGTTATATATATACATATATATATATATATATATATATATATATATATATATATATATATATATATATATATATATAGTATAGGATTGGTGTGAATGGAATAAAATTCCAATAACCAAAAAAACACTTTTAAGAATACTGTTTTTAGAATTGAGTGCTCAATACAGAGTAGAGCAAATGTTATTTATTTAAAATTATAACATAAACATGTTATAAAATCACTACAAAAATAGCCAAAATATCTTAAATGGACAGAAAATTATTGTACCAAAAAATGGACATATAAAAAGTGCTCAATGCAGCAGCTTAGAAAAACAAATTTGCAGAACATGCTAATATAATAAAAAGAGCTAAAACATTGTATACTACTGCACACTACTGTGGTTTCAATTGCTATTTCTCAGGCGGTTGGGTAAACAATGTCCCTCAAACTTCACCACACTACTATTATCATGCTATGGCATCAGAAGTCAAGAAAGGAAGGAGGTGTGAGCAAAGAGAGGGAAAACAAGTGTCATCTAGTGTCATACAGGCCGAGAACATTATTCCTTGTCTACATTTAAACATTATTTTTGTTCTCCCATTTAATAACACCACACTGTCTTTATAAGTGGCTATTGTCAATTTCTCCTTCTGACACAACCTACAACTGCTACCGCTTTTTTTGCCAGATTTTGCTCTCCTCAAAATGCTCTACTTTATGCACATATTCTTCTTTCAATTTCCAGACATGGTTCACCAGTTTTGTTTCAAACTTGCACTTTTCTAGCCTAAAAAGATGTATGGTTATAGCAGCATTTTTTAAAGGGGTCCTCAGTACATCCTATGTAGATCTTCCTTTGCCCACTGTCATCATTAAATTCAGACTGGTAGACCACACCTTCTGTGCACCACACCCCATTCAAAGGACAATTACTTTCAATCCTGCAGCTACATAATATATTTCTTTCACTATTTTTTGATTGTTTGTGTTTAGATTCATCGCATTTTGCTTCTTTAATATATTATTCAAATTGCCAGTACAACTATAACTTTATTTTATAGTGTTTTTGTTTAAAACTTTTGACAATTCAGATGACTTAGGGAAATACTTTCTCAACAGGCCAAAAAATAACTTTCCAATATTGCTTTTCACTTGCATATTTAAGCAGTGGGGGGGGGTGAGCTGAAACTAATTGTTTCTCCTGGTTCTCTGCCTGTTGTTCCCATCTTGTGGCTTTACCTAAGGTTTGAAATTCAAGTTGGCATTGTGCCCCACCTCCTTTAATGCTACTATATATACTCTCTTCTTTTCTTCAAAAATTCCCATAGACGAGAAATTCCTGGACAACTTGCATTTGGCTCCACTCGGGATGTGCTTAATTACATTTGACAGGGGTTTAGGCTCTGTATTTATGTATTTCAAAGTAGTGTTTGGCTTCAGGTATGAGCCAATAAAAACTGTACCATCTAATATAATAAATATATATATATATATATATATATATATATATATATATATATATATATATATATGAGATAAT